CGGATACTCGGGTCTACACAGGTGGTCGTCCATGAGAATGGTCTTGTATATTGAAACAGTAAACATGCAACAGTGTGGTCATGAGGGTGAAAGGCCATGTAGGTGTGTCGTTATGTGGTCGTGCTGTTGTGTAGTCATGAAGCAACGGGGTAGTGCAGGAGTGTGGTCATGTTCAGAAATAGGTACAATGAACTATCTAGGAATGTTAAGAAAAATGTAAGGGGGCCAAAGAGGGTCTACGAAATCAGGATAGCAAGAGAATCCAAGGCAAATCCCAAGGGATTTTTCCAGGTGTAGAGGACAAATGTCAAGGACAAAGTGGGACCTTTAAAGTCAGAGGGAGGGGAAGTGATCGATGATAGTGAGAAAATAAGCATAGCATGAAACAGCTATAGTACTTCTTATCAGTTTTCACAGAAGAATTTCACGAGGAAATTCCAGAGGTGGAACTGATACTTGGGGGAAATGAAGAAGAGAAATTAAAGAATATCACCATCAGAAAAGAGGATGTTCTTAAGAAGATAAATAAGTTAAAGAAGACAAAATCCCCAGGGCCGGATGAAATTTTCCCTCGAGTTTTGAAAGAGTGTAAGGACCCCTCGTATTTTATTTACAAAATCATTAGACACGGGAGTTGTGCCAGACTTGGGGAAGCAGGCAACTGTAGTACCCATATTCAAAAAGGGAGATGGAGCATCGACGTCAAATTACCGGCCGATTAGTTTCACGTCAGTAGTGGGGAAATTTCTTGAATCAATTATAGCAAATAGCATCCGATCGCATTTGGAGAAAAGCAAATTAATCTACGAATCTCAACGTGGGTTTACAAAGGGAAAATCTTGTCTAACAAATCTGATGACGTTTTTTAGGAAAGTCTTCGAGGTAGCAGATAATGACGAAAATTGCGATGTTATTTACTTATACTTTAGCAAAGCGTTTGGCAGAGTACCGCATCAGAGGCTTTTGAGAAAAGTTAAGGCGCATGGTATCGTGGAGAACTTTTTAAATTGGATAAAATTATGGCTCACCGATAGAACACAGAGGGTCAGCGTAGATGGTGTTAAATCTGAGTGGGGCTGTGTAACCAGTGGGGTTCCCCAGGGGTCAGTACTGGGCCCACTCTTGTTCATAATCTACATAAACGATCTAGATACTGGGATCAGCAGTGACATAAGCAAGTTTGCGGATGACACCAAAATAGGGCGGCAGATTAATTCAGGGCAGGATGTAAATGCACTACAGGAGGATTAAAATAAACTGCAGGAGTGGTCAGAAAAATGGCAAATAAAATTCAACACCAGCAAGTGCAGCATATTTAATATTGGAAAAACAAATACTGTCAATGTATACAGCCTTAACAACATCAACCTAGAGAAGTCGACTTGTGAAAGAGACTTAGGGGTACTTGTAAGCCCTGACCTACGGCCTAGAAAACAGTGCGTTAATTTTCGAAATAAGGCAAGCGGAGTATAAGGTTTTATATCTAGAAGTGTAAATAATACGAGTGCAGAGGTCTTATTGCAACTATATCTTGCGCTAGTCAGGCCGCACCTCGATTATGCTATTCAGTTCTAGTGCCCTTATTATAGAATGGATATCAATTCACTAGAGTCGGTGCAGCGAAGAATGACGAAAATGATTCCGGGACTTAGAAACCTTCCATATCAGGATAGGTTAAAAAAACTTAACTTGCATTCCCTAGAAAGACGAAGAGTGCGGGGAGATATGATAGAAGTATTTAAGTGGGTGAAAGGAATCAATAAAGGAGATATAGATAAAGTTCTTGTAATATCCGAGCAGGATAGGACTCGGAGCAACGGATTTAAGTTGGATAAGTTTAGGTTTAGGAGGGAGATAGGAAGAAACTGGTTCACAAATAGGGTGGTAGATGAGTGGAACAAGCTTAGCAAATTTGTAGTAAGTGCTGGAACGCTGGGAAGTTTTAAAAGGAGGCTAGATAGATTCATGGATGATTGAGAGTGGTAGTAACTCTCGACAGGAGCTGCCATGCACAGGCCAACCGGCCTATTGCAGACTCCATATTTTTTTATGTTCTTATGCTGTAGCGGGGTGGTGCAGTATTTTGGTCGTGGAGGGATGTAGTCGTGATGTAGCGGGGTCGTGCAGGAGTGTGGTCGTGCAGGAGTGTGGTTGTGCAGTATTGTGGTAGTGGAGGGGTGTGATCGTGCAGTAGTGTGGTCGTGCAATAGTGTGGTTGTGCAATAGTGTGGTTGTGCTGTAGTGTGGTCGTGCTGTAGCGGGATCGTGCAGCAGAGTGGTTGTGCTTTATCGGAATCGTGCGATAACGGGGTGGTGCAGGAGCGTGGTCGTACATTAACTAGGTCGTGGTCGTACCTGGGAGGCTGGTATACGTAAGGTAAGGCCAGTGGGCTCGGCGTACTGATCCACGTACTCCCGCCGTGCCTGTGAGGGGGAGAAGTGACCAAGTTAGTACGGCAGAATCCGTGTGTGTGTGTGTGTGTGTGTGTGTGTGTGTGTGTGTGTGTGTGTGTGTCAATATCTATCAAATATAACCCGTCAATTACTACATGAGTGTTTATATATCAAATTTATATACATATTTAAACTATACACATAACTAACACAAATATACATTGCCCGTCATACATATCTATACATGGTGTCTTTACATGGCAGTCATTAAATAAAATAACCCTCTTGCCAACTAATACACACACAAAAATAAAAATAAAATAAATTACTTACAATATATTCCACATGGAGAGGACAGACATATTTTTGTTTATTGTCTAAATGAATCAATTAATATTTGACGATTGTTGAAACGTGGAAATTTGTTGTTGTTGATTCAGTTGATTTTTACAGAGAGCTTTTGTATAATTTATTCGTTGACAGTCAATAAACCTCAATGATGATAATGGTGAGGACTGTAATGGTAACAATGAGGGTAATTATGGTGATGATGATGATGATGATATTATTATTACAACTACGACTACTACTTTTACTAATGTTGATACTACTACTACTACTACTACTACTACTTTTTTTTTTACAACGTGGCTCCAGCCTTCCCCAATAGCCACACCTTCGCCGCCATTTTATTACCTTAAAATTAAATATCCTAATACATAAGTAGCTACCCTAGCTGTGTTGAGTTAGTTGAGCCGCAGATCTATGCGGCATTCAGTGACTGTTGCCTCATAGTCAATATCTGCAACTGTTGTCGGGATTAGGGCAGAAGCTCTCGTTCCCCTGAGGCAAAGCAAAGCCGACCTAAGGAGAGAGAAGGACAGTCAACATCTCATCCAGGCTGTAACGTAACTTCTGGGCTGCTGCTTCTGTTCGGATATCACCTCTGCGAGTCTGGCGTAGAAGCATCTTGCACTTGGTCCCATCCCACCAGAGGTTGTGAACACTAGAGGAGTGAAGCTGCCTTGATCAGCGTTCTGAATTTCTCTCCCCGTATGCCCTTATCTTGTCGTTCTCGTTCCTCCTGTGTGCAGCATCGAGAGCTAGGTTACGGTGACATTCGGCCATGGGATAAAAAATCCTGATGTCGAAGAAGGCTCGCTGTCCCCGCGTCTGGAATCCTCGAGCACTGACGTCAGCACGGGCTTCGTTAGATGTGTTTGAAGGCCTATTTTGGAAATTCTCACCGTCCAATGGAAGGAGGGTCGGTTCTACCCTGACATCACGGCAGATTTCCTTCAACATATTTGCTGTAAGATCCCTTACTTCGTCATGCCTCATGCATATGAAGCCCCTTTCTTGCACACCATGGCGTGATCGGCGTCATAGGAAGAGCCACACACGTATTGGGAGGGCAAACCTTCACTGGCCTATCGTACCTTAGAGCAATGGCATCTGTAAATTCTTGTTTATTGAGACTGAAACCATTTGCCCTTATCGGTAACGTAGTTAACCAGTTCGAGGCGCCCACCTCCTGTGCTATAGCTACCTTTTTTTTCACATTCTCTGGTACTTGCAACAACAGTTGCTGCAACTTATCACTTTGGCTGTGCTGTCGCTCTGTCGTAATGGACCTTCGAATCTTGTTTACTTCACTGGTATCCAACCTCCCCTGTTGCGTTCTGAGCTATTATGTGGTCCGTGAGGGCTGCCGTGAGCTTAACTGAGTTTCGATGTTCGGTGGCAGCAATCTCCTCTAGATTGGTCAATCCCATACCTCCCAGTCTCGGTGGTAGTGCAAGGAGTGATCTTTCTGCTGGGGTTAAGTGAGGGTGTTTCACTAATTTGGGAATGAGATTGACGCTGAGGGTGGAGGAGGGGACCAATATCTGGGATAGTGCGCATCAGGTAGTTCCAGCGATGCTTGACTCCATGGGTGAATGCCGCAAAAGCCGCATGTGGCTCTGTGTTAGCAATCTCAGACAGAGCTTGAATTTCCCTAACCCACTCATTCACCTTTCCCGTTACGTACTCAGTGTTGAAGTCAGTCGTGCCGATTACTGCGCTTAGGTGTCTTTGGCCTTCCTTGTTATTTTGACCTCACTTCCACCGATCACCCCCATTGCCCGTTCATAATGTTCTGGCTTCACAATGAGGAAGCACTTGCTGGCATTTGGGTGGTACCCTATTTGTGGGCCTCGCGATGTTACCAGGTCCCCCCACTTTTTGATGTCCTCCAATTTTCCTGCTCCTGTAAGGTCATCAGCATATGCCACTTGTTTTTCCTAAGTTATTTCAAATTTTATTGTGTGTTGGAGCACGGATAGGCCTATTGCATACATTGCCATTGCAACAGGGTCCCCCTGCGTTGTTCCCACGGTTGACTGTATGATGGTATCACCTCTTAGAGCCTTGTTGTGTACTATATAGAGATCTGATGGATTCCTATGGGTGTTTTCAACATACATTGCAAAGCTTGGACACTTGATCTTGATGTTGTGCAATGCGGCCTTGCGGTTAAGTATGTTGAATGCGTTTGAAGCGTCCACCAGGAGAACGGCTTCACAATCACGCTGCTCAAATATCATTCTCATGGCATGAATGGC